TTTGACAGGCATAGTTTACATTCTGTCGCTTTCATCCAATTTCTTATCAGATTGTATTCATTCATCAACACTGGAAAGAAAGAAAAAACGAGTGATTCTGACCGGGGTTTGAACACACGACCTTTCGGTTTTGAGTCCGATCCTATAACAATCAAGTAACCCAGGTCTGAAGCAACATGTAGTAAATTAATTGCTCAAGGCAATTCGTGGTAAAGAAACAGATTGTCCGCCGCGGGTAAAGAACTCAGACTTTTGAAATTCCAGTTCGAAGCCAACATTCTAAAGACAATGTGCCACCATGCCACCAAAAATAAATACGCCAGATGCATCTTAATCATCAGAAAAAAATAAGATTTTGATCTTCTGTTGAAACTATGAAAGACACATGTAAAATGCGTCTTCATGAACACATATATTAAATTAAAAACCTTAACAAGTGCGAATGAGGAATGAATCACTGAACCGTCACTTAAAGAATGCCCGTCCTATAAATTCAGCGGTGTAACAGAAAACAGTTCGAAGATATATTGTTTCAATGTGGTCACACCATGGTGAAACTTGAGGCCATACACAGAAGAAAATAAATAAACGGAATCCAGCATTAATGAAAAGAAGATAAACAAAAAAACAAGAACCACATGTATTATTTCGATGGAGCAGCTGCGGCAGATTATGACAGTGGATAATTAGGCATCAGTGAATCAAGACGAAGTGGACCCACAGGAGGTGCTCGCACTGGAAAGAACGGACAAACACCATATAAATTTTCTCATGACCACACAAAGCAAAATGCCGTCCCTGTTATTCTAAGTCAAAGAGTTCCTGCCCGTTTCTCGGCTGAATGCACCGCAAGAAAATCTGCTCAAGAGAATTCAAGACTAAGACAAAGACTAGTTCTTCTTGCATTCGAACCCGGCACACCTCCTGAGATCGCAGCCGACCTCTTTGCCATGATGAATGATTATCACGATTATTACAATGAATAATTACACCGATATTTGACACGGCACACTGTGAAATGATGCTGAGCAACCGAAGAGTTGCAACTGCAGATAATGCAGTAGGAAGCCGGCATAACGGATTCTCTGTAGAGCTTCATCCTCATGTCAACCCCTGACAGAGGATATGAAATCTGTACAGCCAGAATCAACCAAGTAGCCCAGAAATCGCTTAATCAGCAGCATAGACCGAAAGCTCATTCTGGTCCCAAATCTATCAACCCCGCGGAAAACGAGAAACTCAGTCAAATTATGACGAATCTCCCACCTTACAGAAGAGTCATGAGACACGAGCCGAACATCGAATTTGGTCGGTCATCTGGTTGACCATATCATCTTTTGCGTTGTAGAGCGATAACCCTGTCTTATGCTGTTCTTCAGTATGTTCATCTACGCAGGAACCAAATTAGGTGGATATGCTGCATAAAAGACACCGCTCCAGGCTATCGTGCAAAAGGTGGGGGCACTAGCCAAGCACGTTTTTTTCCTACGCAAATATTGTCACTAATGATTCGAGAATATGGCTTTGTTACCGCTCATTTAGGTCAATGTTTCCCTAAACTATTTTGATCGCAATCCCCAAAATCTTTTTCCGATGTGGCGTCCTAAGGTAGTAGACGCTATGTTTATATGTTTTCAGAGTTTATTACATTAAGTTCCTGGAATTAATTTCAATAACTAAAATAGAATGAATTAAGCCAATAACATTTTATTCAGACAGAACAACAAGTACCACTTTATGAAATTACCCTTTTCTCAAACCTTCGGGCGGCATGCCACGATCGCTTAGGTCACAATTCAAGGTTTGGGAATCATCGATTTTCGAGGAAACATCTAGGTTTGTGACCAGCTTCGGTAAATTTCCTATAGCATAAAGCACTATGCCAACAATCTAAGAAACATGTTAGCTGGCCCAGAGGTGAAACGGAAAAATACATGCCACACCATGTTTGGAGTTGCCTCGGTGACTGTAGACAAGTTCCTGAAGTATACCAGCTTTGGAAACTGTCATCAAAATGCTTTCAGTTTAACCTATAACTGTGATTCATCTTTGAAAAGAGAGGAGAAACCGCAATAATACGTTCTGTTTAATCCTCAAGGTGACGACTCATACAAGTCGGAATTTCAAAATACTACATACACGGCTATGAAGGACTACGAAAATTACCAGGCACGAGAGGAAACAAAAAATACTGAAGAAAAACTACTGCAGATGAACTGCGGCTAGCCACACAAGTTTACTGCTAGCTCAACGTTCGATGAGACTCCGGTGACAGCCGACAAAATATTCATAAATGTAAAAATTAAACTTAATACATCACAAGGTAATGTCAAACACAGGCTTAAATTGAAGTGTATATTACAGTCTGAAAAAACATACAAACTGTTCAACGTAGCAGATATGACACCGACAGTTCGCTAATGGCAATACAACTAACAGATATTCCTTTTTACAGTAAAGATATATGATCTTCAGGTTATCTAATCAGCAATTCTACAGTATTCATATTTTCATAAGCATCTACTTGTGTGCGCTACACCGAGCAGTACCTGACATGGAATGAGATACTCACCGGCGAGAGGACTGAAAATTTTTGCAGTTTATGAGTACTTTCCGGTAAAAGTGCATTTGTATTCAAACGTCGCGATGCTTTGATGATGTTGCTTATGAAGGGTTGCGAGCTTCATGTATTAGTCAACCTAACGAATTTAAACGTCTGATGATCACAACTTCTAGTCTAATAATCATTGTTCAGCTTAAGCTGAGTTATTTCTCCTGGATTCATTGACAGTTGTCGATCGCAGCTGTTATTTTGTCTGACTTTCTTGGATTCTTCGGTTCTGAATCGTTTTTGGTATCTATAAAATTAGCTTTCTATTTTTGAATGTTGAATTTTGTAAATTACAAAAGTTGCGTTTCTCAGTAGATTGCTTGTTCAGTGCCGCCGTTCGTTAACTGTGGCAGCTCTGATGCATTGACTGCTAACCTTCCTATCTGTACCCTTGCTTGTGTCTTGACGTGTTGCTTTATTCGTTACTGACTGGTGAAATCTTTGACGATGTACTAATCAAAACATGTTAATAAATGTAGAGATCAACGGATGCCACGGTTCTTATGCAAAATGCTGTTTCGCTGCGCTGCTAAAGACTACATCCATGAAACGGAAATCTAAGTGCAATCAGTCCTAAAGCACCCTTTATTTTGTACAGCTGATTTACTCCTTTCAATCAGCTGACCTTTAAAATGTGATTTTCGATCAGTTTATCAACTTTAATAGACCGATGTTTCCACATTTAATGGTTTGTGTAACTGGGCAAAATTCGTATGCTGAACTGGTTGTTGTGACAGTTCAGTTACGTGTTGTTTTGCATGTATTTTTAGTTTTTTTTAATTGTTCACACAAGTGCTGTTTTACGTATCTTGAAAATTGACTTCGTTTCGTGACTCAGTAAAGTTAAGCACAGTAAAACTGAAATTTCAAGAATCACCAGCGAATAATGTGTATGAGACAGATAAATCTATGATAAAAACGCTATGAACGCAATACATCTGTTTTCTTACGGTAGGTGACAGTTTACAGTAACACAGCTACGGCGTTTAGTTTGTTTTATCTTTTTGTTTGCACAGATTTTATTTTTTTTTGATTAATGCTAAAAAACAATTACTTCGTTATCTATATTCAAAAAGGCAAAACTATTTTGTGTTTTTGCTCAAACAGTAAACTTAAAATTTTGTTCACACAGTCAGCCAGTTTGGATCATCAATTATGTTTTTGGGCTTTTCAGCCTGCATCGCCAGTCAGTGTTTTAAACGTTTCCGATTGTGTGCCGTCATTTTAGTTTCGGCAAGAGTCACCTGAGGAGAGTCCGTGGAGGCAGATGTTCTCCGGGTCTTCAGTCATCGGTTGAATTCGTAAAAACTGTTTCATCTATTTTTGTCAATGCATTTGCAAAACTTGGAAAGCCATTTAATGCAACAGCTATTTCAAAACTATAAGCCTACTCTACTGCTTCAGTAGAACCATCAGTAAATTCATTTTAAACGTTTTTGAAGACAGTAATCAGTTATGCCAACATCAAAAGGTGTTGCGGTTGTCACCGTTTCATATATGTATAATTCAGTGTTGGTCGTTCATTTCAAAACCCAATTTACCGTCTACTCATTCAAGGCCTTTTTGGGATGTTTCTCGATCTATGACCAAATATGTCTTCGTCTGTACATGAACTGACAGTGCTCCCAAAAAGGCATGATCTAGCATATTTCCAGAATAACAAGAAGTAAAAGTAACAGTACATTAAATAGCCTTAATGAAGGGCTCATAGCTCTCTAGCTGCTGCAGATTACCTCAACTACCGCCCAACGTCTGTGTCACTTTCAACTTAAAAAAGACCCAGGAGCCTGGGAGCCGAAAATTCTGTAAGGATTTACTTATCGATAGACCAGAGCATTGCGTTGTGTTTTAATAGGCTGTGTTTAAGTTGTATTGTATTTTACTAGTGTACTATTAATATTTTATTATTAATGCTTTTATATCGTTGT